AGTTAGGAGCACCAGTGCTACCATGTAAAAAAGTTAATTTCAAGCCCTGCATAGAGTGCACTGAGTGACCACAAAACAAATGTACAAGTGCTTTCTTTACTGCATAGAGTTTGTTTTAACAGAGTAAATGTAGTATAAGGGCATGACAAAATCTGAACAGCTGTCCAGGCCCTGAGCGAGAGAGAGAATAAACCTGAGGTAAACAAATCTTCATTAAAACATTTAGATTTCAAATCAAATCACCAGCCAGCCAGTGTAATAAGGTGGCTAAACAACTTACCTAATGTAAACATCATTACTGCCTGAGGAAAACATCTACTTTGCTTGCAACCAACTATGACCAACAGAGACAACTATTTATCAATAAGTAAAAGTAAACAAACAAGCAGATATTGACATAAGCTCTGAACTGCCTTTCAAATTAGTGCAAGAAATCAGGTTTTTTAGTTTGCTGAAAAACAGTCTTGTAAAACATCTGGACTTTGTGAACTGTAAAGTCCATGGACTAAAGCCTCTGCTTGGCTGCCTTCTCATCTTTTGAAGATAGAAAGATTTTTCTGTAAGAAAAGGAGCTGATCCATATGTTGCAGAGTGAGGCAGCTCCTCTGTGCAGTAACAATATCACCAGCAGTTGAAAAAACTCTCTCAGAAGGGACACTGGTCCCAGGGATACAAAGATACTGCTTTGCTTGGCGAGCCAAAAGAGGATACTCACTTGCATGCACGCTCCACCAGGTCAGTGGATTCTCAGAGAGTGGAACAGATTTTACTTCCCTGTATGTGTTTACTTCGTCCTTTGCCTTGTCCACCGGATTATTCTGTGATACCGTGTAGTAGGGCTGAACGATATGGAGAAAATTTCATATCTCGATATTTATGCCAGATATCTCGATACCGATACGATACAATATGACTATGGGGTCAGTGAAAACTAAGCATTCTTTATAAAGAATTTTTTTAAAAAAAACGAGTCCGAACCATTTTCTGGAAGCCCTCTTTAGTGACTGAATACACGGGAATCATGTGTAGCAATATGGTACGTTATAGCATTTGTAATGTCTTTGTGCCTGCTGGACGTCGATTGGTATGGCATTATGCTACTGAATGCATCGGCAATCCGACCTTGCTTGGGCTTGACACAGGAGGACCCAGATGTCCCTGCCGTGTCTTTTAATGCAAGGCACTGTTCATACAGTCCTCGGTAGTGTTGTCACGGTACCAAAATTGGGACCCACGGTACGATACCAGTGAAAGTATCATGGTTCTGAGTAGTATCAGGATACCACAGCCAAAATGAGGCAGATGTGCCTTTTGTCATTTATAAAAAGATAAATCACTTTTCTATAATACATCAATGATATTTCAATGGAATAAATTACTTATTGACTTATTCATACTTCAAAAACAGCATCAATAAGTGATTAACATAGGGGGGATCAAAATAAAATAAAAATCAACCAGCCACCCTCCTCCCCTGACAAGTAAAGAACAGTCCCTTCATAAGTAAAGAACAGTCCCTAAAATGCGGTGAGGTTTGTGGAAATGTTAACGGCTCGTTTCTCCTCTGACACGTCACATACCTGTGTGCCGCTACGGCTCGGCTGTTCGGTACTACTTGGCAGTCATGACACCAACTTATTCACCTGGAGCCGGGCTTCTCGGTCGCCGGTAGCCTCGCATCACCAGGCTCATCACGTATGGCGAAACGCCGGTAAACCACGTTATCTTGCGGCGGCCATAGCGCTCCACCGTATTCCCGTCTGTGACCCCCGTTCAACCCACAACCGGTAAGTTTCGCCTTTCGTTTCTGCTGCTGGTTGAAATCTGTACTCACACAGCGTGCTGAATGATTTAATTTGCTCGAACAAAACTATTTTTAGTCGCAAATGTGTTGTGTGTACTAGCAAGTTGCTAGCAGCAGCATGTCTCCCTCGCTCAAGGGGATGTTTGTGATTGGCTGGCTTTGTTGTCGATCCAAGGCAAGCAGGAAATGAGGTTTGTGATTGGCTGGCCGTAGCTGTATATTTAGGGCAAGTGTAAAAAGGATGTTTGTGATTGGCTGAGCTGTACATGCAGGTCAAGCTGGGGAAACTCATGGGGAAATTATATCGTCAATATCGTTGCCTTTTGGGATATTAATATCTTGCATGTTCCTATCTCGGTATAGATACGATAACGATATATCGTTCAGCCCTACCGTGTAGGCTGACCCAAGTAGAGCCATCAATGCAGAAGATTCCTCCTTTGACCTCTTTGGTGGAGTAGGGGCATCATCCACTCCAACAGGAGGACCAGGGGAGTTGTCTTTCTGCTGTATGAGCACAGTTTCCTCAGCTCCATCACCATCAGATTCCTGCTGTTGAAATATAGAAATGTTTAGAAATAAACTCATTTGGTAATTTAATTGTTTAAAATTGCTGCTAACATAAAGAAAAAGACCATGTAGAATGTATACTTAAATCCTATAGGCTATACTGTGCATGAACGGCCAGTTATTTCTATACTTCTATAACTTGAATTAGATGTATTCACCTGCTCCAGACCAGCAGCTTCAGTCATCAGTCTAGAAAATATGTGGTCACGGGCCTCATCAGACAAGAAAGGCAGGGCCTTGAAGCGAGGATCTAATGCTGATGCTACATACAGCTTGTCCTTCTGGGCCACATATCTTAATCTGTGCATGCACATGCACAGACAGACACACAGATGGACAGACAAACACACACAGATGTAGATGAACACCATGTACTTTTATATTTTTAGGTAAATGTTTCGGACTTTTATATAACTCAAGGGTAACACACAATGCATGTTAAGTAAACCTACCTTGATTTCAAGTTGTTGTACACAGCAGTCTTGAGGTCCTTTATCACTGTGGAGTTGTGCGGGGCACCGCTCATCTCCTCCCAACAGCTGTGCGTGCAGAGGCGCAATGATGGATAGAGTTGGGGAATTCTCTTCAGATATTACAAGTGTGGCTGCCTTCAGTGGCTTTAGAGCTTTCACCGCATCTTCTGCAACCGTTATATCTTCCTCTGTCAGAGTGCAGAGATTGCTTTCATTCCTGTGTACTTCAGGTGACAGCAGAGCTGCCGAGATGGCTGGCTGCTGTTCTAGAAAGCGTTCCAGCATGTCCAGTGCGCTGTTCCAGCGGGTCACTATGTCAATCACAAACTTAGGTACAGGCAGCTCCAGGATCCTTTGCATCTTTTTTAGCTTGTGGCTTGCCATAGTACTACTATGAAAAAATGATGCAATGCGCCTCACTCGGCCAAGCAAGCGCACACAAGCTGGTGTTTTGAGAGCTGCTTGCGAGGCTAAGTTGAGTGTGTGTGTGTGTGTGTGTGTAACAGCCCATGTGCAACAGCTCCATCAGTCCCACAGCATGGACCATATTCGCTGCATTGTCCGTCACGATGGCTGGGTCATGGTTTGTTAGCTTCCACTCTTTTGTCGCCTCGGACAACAGTTCAGCTAGGTTACTCGCTGTGTGGCTGGTTTCAATTGACCTAGTCTGTAAAACATGAGACATGAGCCTCTAGCCATCATCAGTGTAGTGACAGGTAATTGCCAGGTACGAATCCGTTGCTCTGGATGTCCAGCTGTCACAAGTTAGGGCGACTCTCTCTGCCGACTTAAGTGAAGTTGAGACGCTGTCCTTCACATTTGCATACAGCTTTGGAATTAACACCTTACTCACATGTTTGCAGGTAGGTAAAACGTAATGTGGTTCTAATATATTAATGAGGTTTCAGAAGCCATCATTTTTAACGATACTGTACGGGCGTATATCCTTGCATATGAAAGTTGTGACAGCGTCAGTTATTTTTTGGGCATGTGGAGAATTGGGTGGCAACTTAAATGTGAAGGCCCTCTCCAGCAGATGGAGACATTAAATACAATACTTTCCAAAGTATATAATATTCATTAATTGTGCAAAATAAGAAAAAGCATGTGGTTTGATTCTGTTAATTCATTTTAAAGCCAATGTCAGCAGTACCAATGACGTGCTGATATCATCATGCATCCCTAAAGAATAAGAATGATGGTTATTTATTTTTTTGCTTGTCAACAAATGCCATGTAAAGCCACTAACCAACAGTGAACTGATCCCACTAACAAGTATTATATGTTCTCAAAGTTGACATATCATATTCCTTTGTGCCACAGAGCTCCATATGTCCAAGAACTATTAAAGTATAACTACCAAACCAAAACCACTTTTTTCAGTTGAAAACCAGTGCAGTAGTAGTGTTGTTGATAGATTCAGGTCCAAAGCTTGACTTTTGAAGGGGAGCGACAGTGTTGAGCTAAATAGAGCCCCATCCGATCCTTTGTTTTATGTCAGCTTTCACACAGGTGTTTTTACTTGCAAAGCTGTAATGCACAGCAATGCAACGAGTGCAACCTTCATCAATTCTCCAACTCTCTGCTGTCTGTCTCCCCACTCCATTAGTGTGTATGAGCAGGGGATGAGCCCTACACACAGCGACACACCACACTCCATAAACAACAGCAAAACCCACTATAAGACTTATGTTAAGTTTAAGATTTATGTTAGTAAATAGTAACGGCAAGACAACCACCTAGTCGCTGACTTACAGTAAAGTAAAAATGACTGTTGTCTAGAGTTTTACATGTGTTTCTCTCTTTCGGTCTGCCATCTTCTAGCAGCAGATGCAGGTTAACCCTCATACACTAGACTTTGGCCTCAAGCTGGAGGTCCACCTGTGCTGTGTTCACGGACCTACGAAACCCTCCAAATTTAATTCTGACATTAAATTTTAGGGGAAACACTGAAGTTTTACTGCCCTAATATTAGGTGCCTATGCCTATGTATATTTTAATGCAAAAGTAATCCAAACTTTTCTGAGAGACTAACAGGTGGTATGTCCAATACTATTAGACAGAAAATGTTAGTGTGGATTTGGCTGTAGACCATGTGTCCATGGAGAAAAGGTATCAATATTTCATATAAAAGAAATAACTGATGGTATTATTGTCCTTTTATACTCCTCACAGGAGGCCAAGGCTAGCTTCTTGAACTGGCTACTGACACGAGCAGATCAAAATGGCCTCGTCACATTGTCCAAGGCCTCCTTCAGAATGGTGTCCTGCTCTGAGCTCCAGGATGGTCCCTCGCTGCCTGAGGGCTCTCTGGCCCTGGTCACCAATTCCTCAGAGTCCCAGAGCTGGGCGCAGTTCAATATGGAGACCTACAGCAAGAACCTAAAGACCAGTCTACTGGGGCACACCCTGTTGTATGCTGAGGTTGTCACGTCTACCATGGATCTGCTGCAAGGGTAACACATGTTTCTCTGAGTCTGCTCAATGTTTGAAATGTACACTGATGCTGGCAGCAGCGTATTCTCAAAGGCAAAATGGTGGTTTTGTGACCGAAAGACATGCAACACTTGGTTTTGATTCCTGCACAGGCTGACCACCTGTAACCTTACACAGTGCCGGTCATCTCTCTGAAGCACAGTTCCCTGAAGTGAGTCAAATAAAACTAGTTGGGCTTACTTGCCTTCGTTATACTCGAGTGGTTAGAGTCCCCAAAGTCCAGGAGATATATTTGCATTTTGTTGTGTACTACCTCAAAGCTTTCCAGTGGGAAAGGTTGATAACAACATAAATTAATTTGTGTGTTCGAAATGTATAACTGTCTGCTGTCCCTGCAGCACTGGTTGTCATGCACCAGGGCCACTTGGGTAATTATTCAGGCAGGGAATCTCGAGTCAAAGGAGATTTATGGTTGTGTGTAGACCCTACGCATGTAGCCTACACACGTCGCCTATGCCGTTGTGAGCATTTTTACTTGTGCGGTGGTGTGTCTGTGTCACTCTGCAGTTACACCTCCAAAACACTAGTGAGCGACAGAGGTTTCTGTGAAGTGCTGTTAAGTTTAGTTGATTCAAAACACACTTTAAACATGTCTTAATAGAGACAGTTTCAAACACAAGTACACAAATTGGCTTCACTACAACTCTCAGCATTCACAAACACTTGTGTTAATCCGGACACATTTTGCCCACAGATACAACATGCTGACGTTATTAGCACAAGCCTATGGCATTTTACATTGTATAAATTAGCCTAGCAACTAGCGATCTTTTCATCTTCTCATATAAAACCAGGGACAACGGCAACATTTAGCAAAGGTAATGGCACACAATTTGGCTCCATTACAACTCACAAAGTTCACTGAAAAAACAACTGTCCTGTACTAAACACATTTTTTAAACAAATACAACATGCTAACATTATTAACACAAGTCTATGGCATTTTGCATTGTATTGATTAGCCTAGCGGCCGGCGATTTTTCCCTCTTCTCATATAAAACCAGGGACAACAGCAACATTTAACAAAGGTAACGGCACAAAATTTGGCTCCATTACAACTCACAAGGTTCACCGACAAAACAGCTGTCACACTAAACATGTTTTCCAAACACATTCAAAATGCTAACATTATTAGCACAAGCCTATGGCATTTTACATTGTATAAATTAGCCTAGCGATGAGTGGAGATTTCCTCTTCTCATATGAAACCTGGATAAATCCCAAAGTATAAATCCATGAGTATAAATCCCTTAAGGATAAATCACACACAAGACTTAAAATGCTATTTTAATGGAGGCCTTACTGTCTTCACAATTTATTGTTTCTTTTTTTTTTTTTTTTTTTTAAAGATGTTTTTTGGGGCTCTTTTGCCTTTAATGGACAGGACAGGTAAGCGTGAAGGGGGGAGAGAGAGAGGGGATGACATGCAGCAAAGGGCCACAGGCTGGATTTGAACCCGGGCCGCTGCGGCAACAGCCTTGTACATGGGGCGCCTGCTCTACCCACTAAGCCACCGACGCCCCAATTTATTGTTTCTTATCTGCGAACTAAAGCTCCGTTTCCACTGAGGGAAATGGTGTCAGTATACAGCGACAGACAGGAGGTCTGCGTCACCGCGACGCGTAGTAACAATTCTGGGGAGGTGCACATTAGGCTATGGCGTAGGTTACGACGTAGGCTCTATGTCAACGTGGAGCCTACACTGTAGCTACGGCGTCATTTCAACACATAACTATAAAATGTGTGTCAGCCTCCGACAAGTTCTGCACATTCACAAAAGACCAAGTACTGCAACCGTATTGCTGAAGGATCTTTTCTGTTTACTGTTGATGCCAGAACAAAAACTTGTATTACTACTGCATACAAAAACTGCTTAAACATACATCCAAATTAGTTCAAAACAGCCAAGTGTCTTCAGCTTCAGGGGCAGAGAGGTTAAAAGCATGTAGGCGGCTGACAGTCTACAGGTCTGAATGACTGTAACTGCCTTATGTTTTTTTTTATTTGACTTACACATCTCATTTAGCACTTTCAGCCCTGGCTTGTTTAAGTCAGCTGGACAGGCCACCAGGAATTTTCCCAGCATAACACGTGGCCAGTCGAGGCCTAGCACAACCACAACTGAAGGATTTTCTGTGTAATTGTGGATCTGTGAGCTTTTAAACCACATGTGAGTTTTAGGGTAGTGCATTATCACTGCTGTCTTAGTCACTCACAGGTTCTTTATGCTGCACGTGACAGGTTGCTTAGTTAGTAGCTGTTGTGGAATAGCTCTTAATAAGAAGAAACCATCTGGAAAATTTTGGATATGGATAGTTTATTTATTTATAAATGTATAATAATATCCTTATTATACATTTAATGGAAGTGACATCTTGAAATGGAACTTTTTTTAAACTCAAAAAGTGTTGTGAATACATGAGAGATAGGATAATAGATAACCTGCACTGAGCTTGTTTCCAATGCTAGGGGCAGCAGGTTGATCCCTCACTTTAAGTTAAGATGAGTGTAATGTAGCTAACTGTGTGTGTAGGCATGTCTTAATTGAAACTTTGTGACAACAATAACAATGTAACTGTTTTTATGCCTCTGTGCTGGCAGCCGCGACCAGAGCCATTATGTTTTCAGGTTGTCTGTTCGTCTGAACATCTGCCATCTATCCATACGTCAGTCCATCTGTCCCATTCTTGTGAATGCAATATCTCTCTAAGAACACCTTTAGGGCATTACTTCAAACTTGGTACAAACATCCCCCTGGACTCAACAATGAGGTGATTAGATTTTGGTGGTCATAGGTCAAAGATCAAGGTCACTGTGACCTTGTCTGTCTCATCCTTATGAAAGCTGTATCTGAAGTAACACCTTTGGGGATTTTTTTCTAATTTCAAACACACTTGGACTAAACGATTAACTGATTAGATTTGCTTAAAGGTCAAGGTCAGTGTGACCTTGCAGCTTTCTCATTCTCACGAATGTGATATCTCACAAACGCCTTGATGGAATTTCTTCAAATTGGACACAAACATCCACTTGGACTCAAGAATGAACTAATTAGAGTTTGGTGCTCAAAGTTCAAGGTCAGTATGACCTCACAAAACATGTTTTTGGCGTAACTTAAGAATTCCTACGCTAATTATGACAAAACTCTACACACTTCACAAGTCTAATCTGAAAAAATGATAAAGTGACAACATTTTATATCCAAAGGGACAAAGGTCAACCTCACTGTGATATCATAATATTTTGCATAAAACACTTTTCATTATTCAAATATTTTTATCGATTTTCATAGTAAATACTCACAGTGGTACTCAATACCCCAAAATAAGATACACCAGAAAAATGAAATAAGAGAGAAAAATAAAATAACTGTATACATGAAATAAATATACAAATACATATACATAGCACAAACACACATATATACATATACATATACAGAGATTTACAAATACAACAAGGGGGAGTGTTGCACCTAGGCTACACTATATTGAGGGAAGGGAATTCTTCCTCGAAATAAGATAGAAATGGTTGCCAGATTTAAGAATATTTATGGGTAATGCCCCGGGCAGTGTTTTTAAGCTGACATCACCTCCTCCGCCCAACGCCTATGAGAGGGAAGTGTAACCTTCTTCCAACTAAGGAGTATCAGATGTGTGTCAGAAGCAAGTAGGGATGCGAATGCTATAGCCCCAGCCTGGTGCTTTGTTATCAGTGAATCCTGAGGGAATACCCCAAATAATGCAATCAATTGGTTGGGACAGATAACCTTATTACACATAAATGAAAATGTATTAAATATACCTGTCCAAAACAGAGTGTGTTTAGGGCACAACCAAAACATGTGACTGAGGCTAGCTGGGTCCTGCCTGCATCTTATGCAAGTTGGGTCTAAACCAGGGTAGAGTTTGGCCAGCTTACTTGCAGATAAGTGTGACTTGTGCAGAACATTAAACTGCAGCAACCCATGCCTAACAATATTGATGAGGAATGTACCAATGTATTTGCTGCCTGCCAGTTTATATCTGATAGGGTAGTTCTTAGTTCTTCCTCCCACTGCCTCGCTAAATGGTTAAGTGATATTGATGCAACCTTCTGGATATTATCATATAATACAGACACCAGACCTCTGTCAACTGGATCCATTCTCAAACATTCATCTATCCATTTACTCTGAGGGGTAGTTAGAGAGAAGTGTGTTTTAACATAACTCCGTAGCTGTAGATATCTAAAGAAATCTCACTGGGGGTTATTAAAATCCTTCTTTAGCCATTCAAAAGAAATGAAATGCCCTTCCTTAAAAAGGTCCTTCACACACTCAATCCCTCTCCTATACCACAAGTGAAAAGATGGGTCTGTGAGAGATGGAGCAAAATTGATGTTTGCTAGAATAGGGGAAGTGATAAAAGTTTGTTTATGTTTAAAATTAATCCTAAACTGAGACCATATCTTCAGACAGCCAGAAACGATTGGGTTGTTCGTCCAATAGCGTTTACTTAAGGGTAGTGGGGAACAAATTAAAGAGCAAAGTGAAACAGGATTACTTGAATACTGCTCCATTCGACACCAAACCGGAGAGTCATCATCTGATACATCAGAGACCCAGAACATCAGCTTGTGGATGTTGGCCGCCCAGTAATAATACAAAAAATTGGGCAGAGACAGACCACCATCTTCCTTTTGCCTTTCCAAATATTCCTTCCATATTCTGGGTACTTTTTTATTCCAAATAAAAGAAGCAATGTGTTTATTTAAGTCCTTAAAAAAGATTTAGGAACAAAGACTGGTATTGGTTGAAACAGAAAAAAAAATCTGGGCATGGTCATCATTTTTACTGAGTTGATCCTTTCAGCAAGCGACAAGGGGAGGGTTGACCATCTCTCCAAGTCCTGTTTGGCTTTGTTAAACACTGTTTTGAAATTACTGTCAAACAGATCCCTGTACTTGTAACTAACACAGA